TTGCAGAAGGTGCACTCCATGTTCCTTCCAGCAGGATTTGGTGTCCTGTTGTTCATTCCAGGTGGCCAACCATGCTTGTGATAGCAGGTTTCTTCTATGTGTCAAAAAAACTTGCAATAGGTGCAGTAAGGTCGAGGCCTCCTGATCTGTGAATTGTTGTTGTTGTTCTGTGCTGCTAAAGCCACACTCTCAGCAGCAAGAACTTTACTTTGTTGTGTGCCAACCTGTTGTCTCTCATGCTGGAGCATCCTTTGAAACACTCTATCAATGGGTGGTAACTCATCACCAAACAGGACTTGGGACCTCACACTTGAAATTTTTTCATTAAGACCTCTTAGAAACTGGATAACATAGTTAGTTTCCTTGTAAGCAAACACAACCCTCATGGCCACACATGTTTCTCGAATGTTGGGTGTACAGGTACAGTGTTGCAGTGGTTGATAATTATCTAATTCATCTCTGATAGCAATTAGATTTCCATAGTACTCTGTAACAGACTGACTACCTTGCTTCAAACTGCTTAAAGCTTCAGTGAGTTCAGCAATTCTTACCACATCTTCTTGACCATACTTAGATTTGAGGCTTTTCCAGGCTTCAAGGGAAGTTTTGCAAGACATGATGGTCTTCCTGATGATGGGATCAACTGTCTGCTGGATCCATGACAACACCATAACATTGGGATTAACTGCCTGCTGGATCCATGACAGCACCATAACATTGTTTCTGTTCCAAGCCTAGGCATTTTGATGTGCATCTCCTGGGTGAGGAATGGTGCCATTGATGAATCCAAGCTTGTTCTCGGCTCCCAAAGCATTCAACATGGCCTGGCTCCAGTCGTTGTAGTTGGCAGTGGTAAGTTTCTCTCCCACCAACAGCAACCCTGGTTGCTCAGATCCATGTAGGTAGTAAGGATCTGACATAGGATCGACATTGACTTGAACGTTCTCGGCTGCAGCTGCTTGAACGTTGTCTGCCATGGTTTGAGGCGGCTAGGGTTCTCTAGGAACCAGGCTCTGATACCATAACAACGTTGTGGATCAAGCAAACCCTAAAGCCCTGCTTTTCTCATTGCATTTCACAGCTTATATAGCTAGTGAATCAGTACAGAAACCTTACAAAACAAGGTAAGAAGACAAGGTTTGGAAGTAAAGCAAGTACAGCCGAAAAAGGAAAAGAGATGGTTTTAACAAGTTTGAGGACTAAGTGGCATTTTGCCATAAACGACGTCACTCCACGTGCGTTGTATTTTCACTTGAGCTGTCATTGGGATGGCGTCGCATTGCTTCTGTTTTCCAGACGATGATGAAACGATGTCGCTCTGATTCCCGGCTCCAACTGATGGTGAAACGATGTCGTGGGAGTTCTGCTTCTTCTTCCCTGTGAAGACAAAGTCTCTGTTCAGAGCCGTTGGAGATTCGAATGGAACAGAGCGCGAAAATCCTTAGCATTCCCTGATACAAAGTTTTTCATCACTACAATCTAATTAAAGTTGATAGACTGCTCGATTCGCTAATTTTTTTTCTCCCTCAGAGTAATAATCTTGCAGTTCATAAGCTGTCAAAATAAGAGGAAGAAAATGCCCATCTGCTAGACAAAAACGTCGTCACGAAAGGAACTGTGGATCAGTGGTTCAATACTTCAATTCAACAAGCCGAGTCCATGCATGTACTAAATTCTATGAACATATCTGTTTCCATGTACTATGAACAACTACGGGCAAGGGGCAACGACTTGGTCACTCACACTCTTTACAGCATCAATAAGTTTGAATCCCAAAATCCTGACAAGCTTGCATATATAAGTTTGTTGCTTTCTCTTGAATAAGTTATGAAATTATACGGCTGGAGTCTCAACATCGTCAAGATTCAAATTCGCGACCATGAAAATTTTAGAGAAACTAAATGAATTGACGTCGTTAAGAGGGAGTCCCAACTCTTATCAGCCGCCGCCACTCGTGACCTCGTCAATTTACTGAAACTCTTATAAATTCCTCTCCCAGAATCAGTCACCCAGACACACTTACATAAAACAATCTATTTACAGAAGAACAAAAAAAAAAAAAAAACGATCATGGAATTCTTCTTCTTACTTTTCCTAACACTCCTGCTCATAATCTGCGCTTTTCCCTTACTGGCGAACTCCTTGATCCCCAATCCGAACCCGAAACAATTCAACCCGCCGCCGAGCCCGCCGGCGATTCCAATTCTCGGCCACCTCCATCTGATCCGGCAGCCAATCCACCGCACTCTCCAATCCCTCTCGGCCAAATACGGCAAAATCCTCTCCCTCCGCCTCGGGTCCCGCCGGGTCCTCCTTGTCTCCACCCCTCCCGCCGTCGAGGAATGCTTCACCCGCCACGACCTGGCGTTCGCCGGCCGTCCCCAACTCCTGGCCGGCAAGTACTTCCACTACGACTTCACGACCGTCTTCGTCGCCCCCTACGGCGACCACTGGCGCAACCTCAGGCGCATCCTCAACAACGCGCTCTTCTCCACGGCGAGCCTGGCCAGGTTCGCCGCCGTCAGGGAGGCCGAAACTCGCTCCCTGGTCGAGCGAATCGCGCGGTGGGGTTCAATGTAAGTCAAAAATTGCACTTTAAAAGTTTCAAAGCATACACTGTTACACTTTTACAATTTCAACGCTTCTATTTAGAATCGCCCTTTCCCCCACAAACGTAGTCAAAAGTAAAATCGAGATTTTGACCGTACTGACGGGGTTACAGGGGAAACGTCGTCGAGCTGAAAGCGCAAATCCGCGAGTCGACGTTCAACACGATGACGATGGCCGTGCTGGGGAAACGATACTACGGCGGCGGCAGGGGAGACGGCGACGACGCAAGCGATTCGGAGGCCAACGAGTTCAAGCAAGTGATGAGGGATATTGTTTACTTGTGCGGAAAGAACTTGATCGATTTCCTGCCGATTCTGCAGCGGGTCGATCTGTTCCGAACGGAGAAACGGATGGCTGCTCTGAGGGAGAAGATGGACAAGTTTCTGCAGGGTCTCGTCGACGAGAATCGCCGGAAGCTAGGGGAAGAGAAGGAGGAGGAGGAGGAGGAAGAGGAGGAGAAGAAAGCGGTGATAATCGAGGATCTGTTGAATTTGCAGAGGGAGGAGCCAGAGTTTCTGACGGACCAGATACTAAAGGGGATTATTCTGGTAAGAAATTTTCCCGCCATTATTCGACGCAATAAATAAACTTGAAATTGAGGAAACGATTTGGTTGGCAGGTAATTCTAATTGGGGGCACAGACACGGTTGCCACAGCAATAGAATGGGCGATGGCTCTGTTACTGAACCATCCGGAAGTGATGACCAAACTAGGAGCAGAAATTGCTAGTAGAGTCGGGCAAGAGAGGCTCGTCAGCGAGCTGGATCTGTCGAATCTCGCGTATTTGAATCACGTGATCGACGAGACTCTTCGTCTCTACCCGCCCGCTCCGCTTCTAGGCGTGCACCAGGCGTCGGAGGACTGCAGCGTGGGAGGGTACGACGTCCGCAAAGGGACGATCCTGATGGTGAACGCGTGGGCGATTCACAGAGATCCGGAGGTGTGGGAGAATCCGACGGAGTTTGTTCCCGAGAGATTTGAAGAAGGGTTTCGAAACGTCGTCGTCGGGGGAGGAGGAGAAGGATGTTGTAAGTCGTTTCCGTTCGGTCTGGGGAGGCGAGGATGTCCGGGTGTCGCGGTGGCGAATCGAGTGATGGGGTTGGTCTTGGGATGTTTGGTTCAAGGGTTCGAGTGGGAGAGGATTGGTATGGGAGCGGTGGATATGACCGAGGGGTTGGGACTCACTCTGCCTAGAGTTGAGCCCTTGAACGTAATGTGCAAGCCACGGGACCTTGCAACGAGTCTCTTGGTTGAGCCTTTGGATTTGTGAATGAGACTTGATATATGGCTTTGTTGTTTCGTTGTAGGAAACACTTTTTTAGAAATAAAAGGTAGTGGTAAATTTTTGTTTTTTGTATTTGATTGGGTTTAAATAAAGATCTAGGTTGGATTCAGGAGGTTATGGTTCAAATTTTGACCGGCGTTATTTATGTGTTGTTGTCTTTGTTTGCTCAACTAAATTTGCACCTACAATTTTGTTAGATATTTAACGAAGTCGAAATTTGTCGTATTTGACGAATTTCTCTCGCATCGAAAAAGAAGTTCAATCGGTGATATGTAAAATATGTTTTAGTGGCAAAGAAAAAGTTGGTAGGATGATTTGGTTAATAATAATAAAATATGCGTGGTTTTTGAATAATGATAATTATGAGTATAAATTTATTAGAAAAGATCAAATTAAGAATATAATTTTAATATTTATGTATAAAAATAATTTTAATATTGTATATAATTATTAAATGGGATAAAGTTTGTAAATAAAATTTATTCAGTGTTTACTGTTAAGCATATATGATGGGTTATTATAATGAATTAAGAAACGGTTATTATACTTTTAAAAGTAATCATAGACATCAAATTGTGGACGTGCCGGAGTGGTTATCGGGCATGACTAGAAATCATGTGGGCTTTGCCCGCGCAGGTTCGAATCCTGCCGTCCACGTTTTTTCTTTTATTAATTTTCCAGTTCTCTTTGATGCGTTGGCAATCAACTCTCTGCCTCTGATGATAGTTAAAGTGACTATGTTGCAACTGTTAGGCAATCTTCTCAGAATCTCAACAAAGAATTCTGTGATGATCGTTCCTGCTCCTAAAGTCACCATCTTGCAACTATTATCCCATCTTTTCAGAATCTCAACAAAGAACCAAAGTGGCAGGTTGCGTACGCCAATTCATTCCCAGAGAGATGATTCCATTTTTAGTAAATTCACTAATAATGGGAATTGTTGACGAAGAAAAGGCTTAAAGGAGAGAAATCCCTGTCAGGATATGAAGACACCTGCTTTCAGGTTACGAAACAGTGTCAACAGCTGCTTTCAGGCTGCTGAATGATGTTCGTAAAATCCTGTGCACTAGGTCTTCTCTCTAAACCTATCCACAAGACGAAAGGAATGCAACTGAATTTAGCAAGATCTTATTTAGTGAGCCAGGGAACAACACGTTCTTACACAGAAAACCCTGTATACAAACCCAAGCATTTCAGAATCTTTGATACACACCTCTGGCTAAAATCACAAGCACAAACCCCACGAAGACATGATAAGAAAGTTACAGTCTTACAGACCATGAATCTTAAGGCAGTTAGATATAACTATAAAAGCCACACTGATCAGTAATACGAGGTGAAACGAAATCGTCTGAATTCTTAATGTGGGGGGCAAAGTATTATATGAATTTCTTTACTTCCACCTCTTGAAGTGCTTCCCACCCTTGTGCTTTCCAAACATCCCATGCTTGCCAAACTTCCCGTGCTTGAACTTGCCATGCTTGAACTTGCCATGATGACCATACCCTCCGTATCCATGACCATACCCTCCATATCCATGAGAGCTATGAGCAATATGATGAGCTCCATATGCAGCAGCTGCAGCAGCCGCTCCTCCTGCTAGCAATCCTCCCATTCCGCCACCATGCCCTGCCAAATCATGATTTCACGAGATAATCAAACACAGAAAACGATTGCAGACATCGATGTTGGTATATTTCAGTATTCAATTAAAGAGGGTTCTAAGTCCTAATCAGGGCAAGGATCACACCGGAATGACTGGAGTGACCAGGATAACCAGCAGGAGGGTAACCACCATGTCCTCCGTGCGAAGGATAGCCACCGTGAGGAGGAGGGTATCCGCCGGGGGGAGGGTAGCCTGCTGGAGGGTACCCTCCGTGGGGAGGATAGCCTCCGTGGGGTGGCTGTGGATAGCCATGTGGAGGAGGATACTGAGGATACCCCTGTGGTGGGTACCCTTGTGGAGGATACCCTCCTCCATGCTGAGGGTAATGCGAGCCAGCTGCGAACGCACCTAGGTGCGAAAACAGGCCTTTGTCGGTAGAGTCATGATCATTGCCGTTGCCACCTCCCATTGCTTCAGGACCAACTTCAATTCAGAAAACCTAGAACAGAAGACCGAATTCCATAAGATTCAGGCAAACCGATTCCATTCCATCCACAGAAAAAACTGTGTCCATACATGGAACCCAGATGGGTGAAACTGAAATGAAGACCTTGACTACCCAGAAGCGAATTGATTTCCAGAACTCACGATTAGCACTTAGCAGCCTCGGTGTATACAGAGCAATTGAGATGAAAACCTTGATCAAGTCAAGGAATCACGAGATAGCAAGATAGATCGATCAGAGGGTTGTTCTTCTTTTTAAAGGAAAGACAATCCCTAATTGCAATCAAAGATTAATTGGATTTCAGCAGGAAATGGGAACATCGGAGAAGCTAAGCACGGAACAAGCAATAAACCGAAAGGAAATGAGAACAGAGAACCATAGTAAATCTTTGATCGAGGGAGGAGTTCGTACCAGAGATTGATTGGGGAAAAAATCTGAAAAGCAACCGTCTTCCTCTTTTCTAGTTAGTATGGAGACGGATCAAAGATTATATAGGATGGAGACGAATCAGAGAGATACGCGTCAAAAAACGGAACCACCGCGTTGTGATTAGCTATTTTCTTCTTCTCTCTCCGACTAATGAATGCTATGTAGCGTAAGCATCTCATGATCTTCTGCCTGTGTTTATCCTTACCCATTACGATTCGCGCGCGGGTGGGTGATATACTGATGTCATCGTGGGCCCCGCCTATTTGGGAAATTTCTTCTAAGATTGAAAAATTGTATTGTATTTGCCACGTTTAGAGGTGGCAATTTCAATCCAATCCACCAATCCAATCCATCAATCCATTAAAAATATCCACAAAATCCAATCCATTTAAATCCAATCCATTTGATCCAAATCCAATTGGATTGGTGGATTCATGGATTGGATCCATGGATCATTGGCAAATTACGGTTTAGTACCTATAATTTTTATTTTTTACATTTTGGTACCTAAAATTTTATTTTTTATACGAAAAATATCATTGGAAAATTACGTTTTGGTACCTAAAATTTTTCATTGTGACATTTTAGTACCTAAACTTTTTACATTTTACATATTGGTCCTTGGTTGAGGATGTCATTTGGATTCATGGATAATCCACCAATCCACTTGATCCAATCCATGAATCCACCAATCCATTTGATCCAATCCATTTGATCCATGGATCCACCAATCCAATCCACCAATCCACCAATCCAATCCATTTGCCACCTCTAGCCACGTTAAATCAGAAAAATCTATATGTTGTATTTATCAATATGAAACGTTGAACTATGGTTAAATCACGATTTTAATATAAAATATTTCACAATTGACTTTTTAGATACAACCTTTGGTATGGGTTGTTCCGGCGTGAGAGATTTAGATTTTCCCATTTTTTCTAAATTTTTTTTGGAACCATGAAAATTAAATACTTAATAATTTAACAATTATGATAACGAGAAAAACGCTAATATTTTTTCTTGTTAAAAAATCCTTGATAATTTTTTCTCTTTATAATATCGATAAATAACATTCATCTCTCCATAAAAAAATAGAATTAGAGCGAGACATATCCGAGCTATCAAATTGGACTTGATTGTCGGGCTTCACCAAAAATATGAAAGGCCGTTTTAGAGTGTTAATATGTTGTTAGTGTGTTACTAACAATAATTCCAACCAACAATAACATTTATTTTGCTGATTTTTATGTTTAACGAGTTGACCATAATTAATACGGATTTTTTAAAGTCACTTGCAATATTACATGCGACGCAGAATAAGATATGCCACAAATCTCATATGTTTCGTATATATAACTCAAATTGATAAAAAAAACCGACTTCTAGAGAGCCGATGCCCTACTCTCTTCATATTGAAGAATCTTCTCGAACGCCTTCATCGAGGCTTCTTTGAGAAATGTTCGAGAAACAACTCAACATCTCTATCACGGCTAACCTCAATCGCGCTGAGGAGGAGCCAGAAGAAGGCCTGCTTGGTTATGATGCCATGACTGTGACTTTGTTGAGCTAGCCTCCGAATTCGGTGGGGGAGGGGGTTGGCTTCGGTAGGGAGGGAGGGACGACGGGGTAAGCGACAGTTCGTCTGGGAGAAAGAGAGGATGGGAGGGAGCCAACTGGGAGATGGGTGGGGATTAGGGATGGAAATGGGGCGTGTTTGGGGCGAGTTTGACTAAACCATCACATCACTGCTTTTAAATATCCAAATCCATACACGCCTCATACACATGCAAGGAAAGGGTTTGCAAACTCATTCCCATATGTGTGGCTTTTGGGTATAATACATAAAATTATAACATATAAGTTTTTAATTATAACACTAAATGCAGCTACTATATCATGAAGTCGACAAAAATACAATCATTCATAATACGGTTCAAAGCATCGTATCCTAAAATACCCATTAATCCATAAGATAAAGTACAATGTGATTCAAATCATTATTCTCTGGTTCTTTTTTTGGTGTAAATTATTCTCTGATTCTTATACATCTACTAAGTATAAAAAACATAATTTTGTTACACGAGAGAAAAAGTGAAGAGTGAAAGGAGAGTTGAGGGAAAGGATATTGATTTGGGTGACCACTCAATTGTATTTCTACTATTTATGTATTCAGTTATACTTAGCAAGTGAGCATCATCGATATCTTTGATCCATGTATATTTTATATGTGAAGAAATACTCTTGGTGGGGCGGGGTAGAGGTATGGAGCGAGGGAGGCTAAAACCATACCCCTTCGGAATCTGCCAAAAATGGAACCGGAAATTTTTTGCCCAAATCAGTACTTAATAGACTTAATCATAGTGAAGAATAGTCTCAGGCCAAATAAATGATCATAAGTCTTCAAAATCCAAGAAAAATGATCTTAAAAAACGTGCAAAAATTATGAAAATTTCCTATGAAAAAATACGCCCAAGTCGGCGATTACTAGACTTTATCACTTGTGGATAATAGCCTCAGACCAAATTCTTGATCTGTAGCCTTCAAAATTCAAGGAAAATGACCTTTATAAAAAATCGCCTGAAACTTATGATGAAAATGGTAGCGAAAAATTACGCGCAAATCGGTACTTAATAGACTTAATTATCAGTGAAGAATAGACTCAGACCAAATCCTTGATCTGTAGCCCTCAAAATCCAAGAAAAATGGCCTTTAAAAAAGTCGTCCAAAAATTACGAAAATTCGCTCAGAAAAAATTCGGGCAAAAGTAGCCATTTATATACTTTATCATTGGTGGAGAGTAGCCTCATGTCGAATCTGTGATATGTAGAATTAAAAAAAAAGATCTTTCAAACAAATCGCCCGTAATCTGTGATGGAACCCTTTTGGAATTTGTCAAAAATGATCTCGAAAAAATCCTTCCAAATCGGTGCTTAATAGAATTAATTTACCAAAATCGGCCATTAATATACTTTATCATTGGTGGAGGGTAGGGCTGGGCATGCGGACGGGTCACAGCGGGTTTGGGCCGATCCGCCCGCATTTGTCCCGAATTTCTTTATGTGGATGGGTTTGTGGGTGGGTGACGGGTTGTTGTGGGAGCTATCCGCCGGGTGGCGAGTGGGTTGTGAGAGGGTGCGCGGGTGACCCGCTCAACCCAACAACAAAAAGAACAAAGCCGTTGGCGCTGGAGAGTAGAGACGCCGACGAAAACTAGGTCTACTACCGTAGATTGAATCTCAAAGCCAATCCACTTCCCTATTCTTCCCTTTATTTTTTCCTTTGATTTTTGTGCCCAAATCACCTCTCTTTCCTCCGTTGAATGATTTTTCTTAATTTCCTTCACCCGATAATCATCTCCATCCGTAGAAAGCTTCTCCATAATAGAATTTTATCCAATTTCAGAACAAATTCGACATTTTTTCCCTATTCGATCTTGTTTCCGCCCAATAACCCTCCACCAATTATCTTGCCACTTGAAGTGAATCTCAAACTTTGAGGGTGAATGGATGTTGAAATGGATTTTTATTTTACATATTGATATTACACAGGGGTTCTTAAATATAAATGGATCTTGTTAAGTTGACTTCTTTGTACATTGTGATGTGGGTGAACCCGCAAACCCACCCGCATCATCCGCCATCCACCAAACCAGAGACTAAATTTGGGTGGGTGTTGGGTCAAAAATTGTCAATCCATTTAAGCACGGTGTGGGTGCATTTTATGGTCAAAATCAACCCGGCCCACCCAATGCCCACCCCTTGTTGAGAGTAGTCCCATGTCGAATCTGTGATCTATAGCCTTGAATAAAAAAAGGTTTTTCGAAAAATCACCTGAAATCTGTGATGGTACCCCTTTGAAATTTGCCATAAATGGCCTCGGATAAATTCACTCAAATAAGTGCTTAATAGACTTAACTATCGGTAGGGGTGTTCAAACGGTGTGGTTACCGTGGTAACCATTTTAACCGGTACTATTTGGATAATTTGGTTTTGTTAATTTGGATAATTGGTTTGGTTTGGTTAAAGTTTTTGGCTTGTTTTGTTTAGGTGGTTTGGTTTGGTTTCAGACACTCCTAACTAGTCAAACCAAATTAACCAGTTAAGTAATTAGTCATATATCTAACATATATTATATACACATACTTAATACTTTGCATAACCACTCAAGAGTTAACGTTCATCCCTTGTAGACTCTGATAACATCGGATTTGCACATGTTTGCACCCTCGTTTTGGCTTGAGTTTCTGCTTTCTTGGACTATTTTACGCTAGGTTGTGTTCCTTTGTCCCATTTCAGGTCCTAGCATGTAAATTGAAGCATAGGCGCAAGTTTCAAGTCAATCGGAGATCATTTGGCAATTCGGGAGAAGAAACACGAGCATGACCTGAGGAATAATGGACTTCTACCTCATATTATGGATAGATAATTATGGAATTTTGTTATGAAAAGAAAGAGGACAAGACTACGAGCGTCTGGGTTCAAACGGCGACTGATTTGGAGTCCGGACGAGGGAGAAACGAAGCTTTGAACAGGAGCGAAGGAAGAATTACGGGCAGGAGAATTACGACCGTAATCGTGCCCGTATTTTCACTGCCGAGAGGAGCTTTGGGTGCGCTGAAACTTAACCAAAACGCGTGTTTTGGGCAAAATACGGGCATGGAAGAATTACGATCGTAATTCAGCCCGTAATTCGCCCAGAATCGGGTTTTTGAGGCAGATTCGAGTCAAAGGAAAGGGAGAGCTGGGTTTTGGTTCCCAAACACCCAAGGGACGAACCCTAGAGAGAGAGAGAGCGACTTGGGAACATTCTTGGAGCTATTTTGGAGGATTTCTTCGCCATTGGAGCTCGGGAATCAAGCTTGGAGATGGAGATTGAAGATCTAGATCAGATTTCTGCAGTCTCTCTCTTCTCTATGGAGTAACTTCCCTTCACTTAGGTTTTGAGGAACCCTAGTTCCATGTGTTAGGATCTTTCTTGTATGAAGTTTTGGATGCTATATTGTTTGATTATAATCTATTGAGGCATGATTTATTGAGTCAATTGAATCTTGATCAAATTCTCTTGATTTCTGCTTTAACCTATGATAGATAGAATCTGATTAGGTTAAGAGAGCTTCCTTGATTGATAGTGGTGAATTGGTTGTGCGAGAGTCAATCAATTCACTGCTTTGTACTGGAATTCATTCCAGTA